CTGTCATACCACCCATGCCCTGTTACAAATGCTCTAGGGCACAGAGATGCATTGGCAACTTGCCACCAGACCAAAGTCCGTATTTAATGTGTCTATAAAATTTACCTCATTAACCAAAAAAACCGGAAACAACACAGAAATCAATACCAATGACCACCTTTGCTACTGGTTGGTATCTTTCTTGACACATTAAGATAAATCACTTGTCAGGCACTGCAAGCTATCCATTAGCTCTGTCCTCACCGTTAAGTCTCAGGGAGGGGGCAATGTTCTGTGATTCCAAGAATTACAACTGGTACTTGAATCACACATTATTTGACAGCAGTCATCTCTGTGTGTGGCAGAGTGGATGTGGGCTCCTAAGTGAAAAGTCCTGCATTAGGAGGGTATTACAAAGCCAAAGTCACGTGACAAAATAGTGGTCCAGAAGACAAACTATTTGGGCAAACTTATCTTGCTGCTTCATCACTTCATCATAAAATATTATTCACCAGTTTCTTGATCCATTTTCACTAACATATCCTGCTTTCAAACACTTTGTGCATTATACCTGAATATTGACTAGAGAAACAGAATGAAAATCCCAGCCCAAAGAAGCTGCAATGGAAGAGACTTCCTGCTCTTTTCCTCTCTGATGAGAAGCACTTCAAACCACAAGAGAATACACAAAGGAAAACAGTTCATAACTAACATAGAAAACAGGGACATTGATAGCTGGTCAAGTAATACTACAAAACACTACCACTCCAGCTGCAATACAAAGTCTTCAGTCACCCAGGGAACAGTAATCCAGGAAGTTTCCTCTCCTCTCTTGCTCAGCACAAGGGCCTGAAACACTCACCTTGAGAATGCTTCAGACTGGTCCCAAGAGGACAAATACTTTATAGAGAGAGTTTCTCTTTGCATTTTTGGCCCTTTTAATTACAGTGTAAGTTTATCTCCGTACTCCCCTTCCAGACTAGTGTATACTAACTGAGGGAGGCCAGTCTCACTCTGATCTCCCACCTATTAACTCCTTAGCCAGCATTATAGAAACGTTTGCCTCATCTCATTATCATCAGCTCTGTACACATACATAGCACAAATGGACAGTAAACTTGAAGGGCGAAGGGGGGAAATGGGTGGAGATTCTCATTCAGTACCTCCCAAACACACTTTCAGAAGCAGAGAACACAGACTGAAAATGAAAAAGATTCTCTGCTGATCATATGTACCAAGGGCAAAGAAGTATTTTATGGACCCTCTTCTAAATGGAGAAGCAAACAGCAACCAGGAGACAGGAAACACTAGATTGTGCTCAACAAGAATTTCATATCCATGACTTGTTGGGCCTGACTAACTCTCTCTGAATAGTGTTGAACTTTTTAATATGAGTTTTTCTCCTCAGCATGCCTCTCTGTGGCTAGCCTTTTAAATCTGAAAGAACTAATGCAACTGACAGCACTTCTCTTTCCCAACGGGTATGATCTCCTTCCATATTCGCTTTCTTGTTGCTGAAGAGATGGCACATTCACTTGAGAGCCACTCAAAGCATAGGTCCTTCCCTTTTCCCTGACCTCTGATGCTCAAGATGATCACTACAGATTGGAATAATTTTTTCTACAGAAGCTAGTAGTTAGTTACTATCTGCCAAATTCTCCTAACTGCCTTAGATACTACATAAAAAAATTTGATAACGCATCTTGTACATGCTGGGATTTGGGTGTACAAAATATTCCTTTTTGGTGGCTCAGATGATAACACATCCCATCTAACTCCTTACCCATTAGACTTGGAACAAATACATACCATCACATTCATAAGAACAAACAAGAAATAATTGCTTTAAACAGATAATTAGACAAAAGTCATATTTAAAGGCACCTGGATTTATACTATACTCAAGTTCAGCTAGATTTGCCACCAGCTCCTCAGGTTAATTAGTTATCTCAGACTGCTCTCTTGAGCATCCTGGAACACGTTAGGACAGAAACCACTTTTCTGGGGGCAGTTATGTCTTGCCAAGAGAAGTAATGGAGTACTGTATGAAAAAAGATCTGTCAGTAACATCATGGCACTGTGCAAGGAGCTCTGGAGACAGCCCCAGCAAAAGGAGAATTAGATACTGTTCTTAAAATACACTAGCTCTACTAATTCCTAACTAACAAGCAAATAGAGTTACACATCTCTGAGGAAGCTGATAGGTATAAATGGCAGGAGAATAATTTTTTTTAATCTCCCAGCATTCAAATACTACAGCCAAACACCCCCATTGACCACGGTCACTTTTATCCTAATCATGCTCCCAAGGTATATGTTGTGGTTGCTCACTATAAATGCCCTTTCCAAAACAAAAAGACATTTGTGGTATCATTAATAATTAACATCCTCCCCTATAACTGAAGATTCTTTCATGATCCTTATTCCACATTTATTCTTACTTATTACTCTGTAGCTAGTTAGTCCTTTATACTTAGTGCTAACAGTATTTATCTTCTGTTACACAAATGGAACAATGACTTCATTTAACTGTTTATCTATTAACAGGCCCTAGGCAATAACATGTGCATTCTCACAACTGTGATTTAATCAATATTTAGTCCTGTTAAAGCATAGTTTACTTTGGATATTTCTTAGCATGACTGGTAACCAAGTGCAGTTACTGTGAGTAGGGCCACAAGAGGTATTTCAACTGTTTGAGGGCAGGGGATACTGGCACCCAGTGCTTTTTTAGTATTTAATAAAAAAAAAAAAGGTGCTGGTACTCAAAGGGAAAAAGTTGTTGAGAAAAAAACAAACATACAGGGTGGGGCCAGAATAGCCCTTTTAAGATACGTGGCCCAGCCGACTGTTGGACATTTGTGTACAGAGGTGCCGGTACGCATCGTTCTTTCCAGGTAAGCTCTCACTGGAGGTTCACGTACTGTGTACCGGCCAGTACCATCACAAAAAAACCACTGCTGGCACCAGTCAACTTGTCTAGCATAAATAAGGCCAAGCTGTTAGATAAAAGAGGCAGACCTGATCAGCAGTAGGGCTAGAATGAAAATGAATGGTGGGATATCAGTATATCCAATATGACACCCAGAGAGAAGCATTTCACTAGTGCAAATTTGCGTGGCAGAGAGCTAGACACCCGCCTCACTGCCAGAGACACACACTGTGTTGGTGCCTGACACAAATATTTCTTCCCACTTCAATGCTACAGGCGCTACATAGGTTTGAAACACACACTTTGGTTTGGCTGCTCTAATAGCTGTTGTAATTATCTCCACAGAAGAAGTCATTAGAAGTCTTCTATATCAGAAATATAAATGATCCAAGCAAATAATCAAAACACTGGCAGAGGCCCACACTGACATGGTTTAAGGATAATATCACATTAGTTCTTTCTGTTGGGTCACTACAAACAGCCACCTCCCAACAGTGCCTGAATGTTTTGGTCTGGGCAGTATTTAGGGCCCAGTTTAATATTAGCACAAACCTAAGCACTGACCCAAGTAACTCAAAGTAGGTGAGAGGTTTACACCATTGCCTCGTATTAGAATACTTCTAATGTGTCACTTGGGTTTAAAAATATATAAAAACTGAAGCTTAGGAAGTTGCCTGTTCAGCAGAATGTTCTTCAGGTGACTCCCCTCCCCCACACACCCAAAACAAAAGCTAAATAGACAGACCTCTCCAGACAGTGAAGCTTGAGCAGAAAAATCTCTTGCACATAAATGCAAGAGAAATGATGAAGATTGCAGTATTCACCACAGCCCTATGGCCAAGCCCCACTCATAACCCAGTTATTCTCTCACAACAGCTCAAAGAGTAGGGAGTTGGTCAGGTTGATTTAGCAGTCAATTTAGTGTCATCTCTCTTTCAAACATCCTACACTTCAATTCAAATCCCTTGCAAGATAGATTTGTAACAGATTAAGGAATTTTAGCAGTGCCCCAGGTCCCTGGAAGCAGAAGGAAGATTCTACATAATTTAACACTAGACTCATTCCTTCTTATAACTCTTCCCTTGAGGAATGGGTGTGTGCACACACACACTGGGAACCAGTATCAGTCATGCATACAGACTGAACCATCATACAGTGAAGATGATATCTGCCTTTCAGGCTCCACTGGCTACTTAAAGAAAGCACTCTGGGCAGGGGGCAGTATGCCCACTGGATGGCACAGAATGTAACCTAACAACAAAAACCATGACACCAATAATCTGCTAGCAGAGCCTTAGAGTCCCCAGTCCAAAATCTCACCAAAGTATCATCAGAAACAGAGAGAAAGCCAGAGTCAAGGTACATAAGAATGCCAGGGAGGGGAGCGCTGTAGGGTGATTTCCTTTACTGCCACCTCAAGCCTTCTTACTTCATGTTCTGAGTCCATGGGGGAAGAAAAGGTTCAGCAAGAGGCCCTGACAGCAGTACTCCTCCCTTCTTGCACGTCTGGAATAGTTAGGGATAGCATCATCCTGTGGACATGAACGCAATGATTACTGTCCCCCGTTGTAGGCATAGTCAGCCTTGTTGTGCATGATCAGCTTGTTATCCACAAAGTAGAAGCTGTCTGAGCGGGTCTCATAAGGGTGTTCAACCATCAGGCGGACTGTAGGAGAGAAAGGTCAGTTGCACTCATGAGTACTGTGTTTGCAACATCCCAACGGGCAGCATCGTTTCAGAGGAAAACACACGAGGTAAATAACCCCTTTGCCACTTTGAAGCTCTGCCCTCAAGGAGAGGTAAGAGAAGCAAACTTGTGTAATTGTGAGAACCACAGAAGCTCTGTTCAGCCTATTCAAAGAATGCAGGTCTTCAGGCTATCAAAGCAAACTGGAAGAGGGTGGATCAATATCACACAGATATCCTGGAACCTGGGTCAGGCTCAGTTCAGCAGCACTAAACAAGAACATTCCTCCTCTGTGACCTGGCTGGTGTAGAGTAAGTGGAAAAACTAGTAACATTTGCACAACCCAGATTGCATACTCAAGTCATATACAAACACAGTTCACCCTCCCTTTGCCAGACATACCAGGAGAGTAGTAGAAAGCATTCAACTGTTCCTGCCCAGTCTAGCTCTCAATGGCAGAGCACATCTTATAACAAACCCATACTGGGAATATTCAGATCTTGCCGTTGCAGATGGCTCTCCACAGGCTCTCACAAAAGAAACAACCCCAGTTTACAGCTGGCAGGCTCAAACCCCAAACAATGGGTAATATAAATATATATCTTTGGTCTTTAAGGAAATATTCTCTTCAAGTTACCAGGGTTACCTCTTTGACTATGTATTGAAGCATTATGTGCTAAGGCCACTGTGATTCTAAGGTCACAAGCTGCCGATAAAAGAAAACACCAGACTTCAACCATGTGGCACATGAAGGCAATTTGCTCAAGACTACACAGTGAGCCATCAGCAGAGCCATAAACTGAATTGAAATCTACCTCTTCCTAGTTCGCACCCTACCACGTGACCATCTATCCCAGTGTTTCTTAAACTATGTTCTATGAACAACTCTCAGATGTGCTGCAACCTCTTCTTTGTTTTTGTTACTTCTTTGTTTTAGTCTTTTTTTGTTTGACAAACATTTTTTTAAAGAAAATTTTCATAGGTGTTCTGCATAAAAAATATTACTATTTGGTGTTCCGTGGTCTCAAAAAGTTTAAGAAACACTGATCTATCCTCTCAAGGAGAGCATTTGAATAAGCACTAGTTCAGTGATGGAAGAAAGATACCTACTGAGGTCCTCTGAGAGCTGGGGGAACTCATAGATGTGTTCACATGTGTTCCTGCTGCTGGGGATGCAGAAACCAAAATCAAAATCAAAGTTCTTCAGCAAGCGATCCCGGAAGTAATGTCTCTCAATCATTCGGAAGTTTGACACTGGCTTGTCTCCCACTGTGAACTCCACTCTGCAGACACAGGGCAGGAGAAATACACCTCGTGAGAGTACTTCAGACTGGTGGAGACACAGAGCTGCGGTTATGCAGAATCTAAAAACAGGGTTGATATCTCTCCTAAACAGAGTCAGATCTTGGAATCTTTCCTGTCACTATTAGCTTCTTTTTCATCTGCATTGCAGACTGGGTTTTCATCAGTGCATTCTTAAGTTCATTTATGAACTAACAAGATTATATCTAAAGATCCACATAACTGTTACTCCTCCCTCCTTGTATGAACTTTTACTCACGTTGCACCAACTGTCCGCAGACGGAGAAATGCTGGGGTGAATTGATAGCGAACAAAGCGGCCTGCACTGGTGTCCACTTCTCCACTGTCATCTTCATCCTCATAATCTTGCTCTAGAATTTACCAACTCAGAGTTAATCTTCTGATGTTCTAGGAGTAATATGCTGATAACTTGTAGCTGAGGTACAGAAACCATCCAAGACATTGCTCAAACACCTAACACTACCATATTAAAGAACTTTTTTTGATATGCTGCTGGCTTGTCAGAGAACAGTTTCATAGCAAACATTCACAATTGATTACACGGACCAAGAGACCCTGTTCACAAAGATGCATGTCCAGGAATCAACTACAGAAGTACATAGTTGTTAACCACTAGTTTTTTATTTCCAGGATATGGACTGCAGATTTCCTTTGGCTACCTGCACATAAAGGGACTTTTGGTAGGACTTAATAATGGAATAAAGATAAATCTTGGTCTAGTGTTCAGGGGAAAAAATTAAATCATATCAGCCCACAACAACAGCACCACATCAAGGGAGCATGAAAGCCCACCAAACACTGGGCACCATCTGTATCACCTTGCTGAGCCAAGAGGATAAGGGCTCTTCAGGCACAGTATTCACATTCCATCTAGCTCAGAAGAGGAAAAACAGTACCTGACTGCAGCTACTCAGCTGCGACTTTGAAATGTATTGCCTATATGAGATCACTTCCTAACAACCAAATGCCAGTAATATAATTGACACTGCTGGCAAGTTCAAGACTGAAAGGATAACAGCGAATGAACTCCCCTTTCACCCCTACAGCAGGTGCTCATGGTCATTGTTGAGGCATATTTACAGGATTATATGGACAAAGCTCTGTGCTACACCAATCCCATGGAAAGAGGATTTCAGACTCCCAAGACACCTCTCTCTATCACTATATTCACTTCATATTCTTTTTTTAGACTGTAACTAGAACATTTGCAGGCAGAGAAGGTCTCAGTCCTGCAAGGAGTCTAAGGGATAACACAGGTGAACTCAGTTCACTATGAATAGTGAGTATCTTTGTATTTGGCCTCCATGTCTCCTTCCCTGCATCCAACCAGATCGCATAATAGCTAGCCAATTCCACACTGTCAGAACAGTCTACCTGAAGCAGAAGGCTTGGCAATTTCAAACAGAACTGTCCCTGTCTCCAGGTCCCGGATCTTGAATCTGGTGAAATCAATATTGTAGATGTTGTCCTCAGGTTTGCATAAATAATCTAGGAAAGAGGGGAATATATTAGGGAGATCCTTTGCTTACAATAATCTGGATGAGGAGGAGAAAATATGGCCACATAGCCAAAGATTCTCCTCTTAGATATCAAAAGTCCTTCAGCTGCATTCACTGAGTCCAAACACTTAAGAACATTCAGGAATATTTCCCAAAAAATTTTTGGGAGAGTTGAGAAGGGCAAATAGCAAGGAAACCAAAAAGAAAGTTGCTAATTAGACTAACTAAACAGGACAACGCAGTTCAGCATTTGAACTTAGTATCGACTGAGCCAATCAAAGAGGGAAAACTAATCCAATTAAAGAGGGAAAACAAGATTATTCATTTACTATACCACAGTTTAACACAAGCACCACCTAAGCAACATCACTCCTGCAACAAAGCAAACAAGACAGATTGCCAAAGCAAAGAAGATCTTGGCTTTTGCATCATCTGAAACTACAGAAAAGTGAGAGACCAACAAACTCCAGAAGTAGATTTGAACATGGCTACCAAGCAGTCTCAAAGTTTCAGGGATATTTGTCTTAGGTAGGCAAGTAAAAACAAAATTTGATGGTTCTAGCTAACATGGAACCTAAAACCAAAGATATAGCATCTATATGGTCATGCTGGTGGAATTTCACAAGCAAATCTGGGTTCCTATTGACCAACACAGTCTCAATACTCCAGACCCTGACAAAATGTGTCCCCCTACTTTTCTGTCTGCCTGGTGCTATTAAACAAGAAAAGGCTAGATACCTGAGCACTAAGATGAACCCAACTGAAAAACACAGATCTGTTGCTTGACAACTTCTGCCTTTAAACCTTTGAATCTAGGAATCAGAGCCGTCCTTCACCTACTCCTGATAAGGATGTTTTCTGGAAGGGATATTGAGGCCCCCAGGAATGAGGCTCCCTGTCATGGTTACTTCTGGTGTCCTCAGGAGATGGTATGAAGCTCTGGAGACACTTGGGGCAACAAGAAGGTTAAGGCAAGGGTTCTCAAACTTGTGATACCGCAACCCCCCTCTCAGTTGCTGCTGACCGCCCAGAGGGTCAGGACCCACAGTTTGAGAGAAACTGGGTTAAGGTCTATGGCAGGGGTCTGTTCTCCAGCCAAACACGGCTCTGTACAGAACCAACTATGACTCTTTTCGTCATTCCCCAAACACAGGCAACTTTTTAAAATTAAAACGAAAATTTCAACATTTAAAAAAAAAACGTGTCCTCGCTCGTGCGGCTTGACTGCACGGCCTGAAGCAGAAGGCGACGAGCGATGTCCCTTGCAAAGACAGGGGAGCGAAAAGGCGCAGCGGGAGTCCCACGCCGGGAGGGCTGCGGGTCCGCTGTGTCACGGATG